CCAAACCTTTCTTGAATGGTCATCGATGAAAGTCACAAAGTAGAATGCACCTCCAAGAGTTTTAGCTTGCATAGAACAGACATCAGTATAAATCAAATCAAGAATATTTGATCTTTTAGATGGAGGGTGTGAATGAAATGCAACTCTATGTGTTTTTCCTGCTAAACAATCAACATAAGTTTTAAGGGGCATACCTTGCAAACTAGGCAGGAATTGCTTTCTAGCAAGAAGTTGTAGTCCTTTCTCACTAATGTGGCCAAGCCTCTTGTGCCATAGATCCATGCTTTCACCCTTCTGAACAACATTTATCTCTCCTTTGTGAAGCTTAGCTTGCATGACATAGAGTGTATTCATTTTCTTTCCTCTTGCAACCACTAGAGAACCTTTGGTAAGCTTCCACTTACTTTCACCAAAATAACTAGTAAAACCCTCATCATCAAGTCTGCTTGTAGAGATTAAGTTTAGGCGAATATCCGGAACATGTCTAACATCCTTGAGTACCAACTTGCTTCCAAGATTAGTTTCCAAACAAATATCTCTAATTCCCACAATTTTAGAGGCACCACTGTTTCCCATTTTGACATTGCCAAAATCACCGGTAGAGTAAGAAGTGAAGAAATCACCATGAGGAGTAACATGAAACGAGCCGCCAGAATCAATCACCCAATCACTTTCCTAATGCACAAGATTAAAACAACTGTCATCACAAATGATGGTAACATCACCTTCGGCGGCTACTGTATTAGTGTCTTTCTCATCTTTATTTCCTTAACCCGGTTCTCTTTTCCAAATTCTGCATTCTTTCTTTATGTGACCCATCATGTTGAAGTGATAACACTTGAGATTTTTCTTTTTTTTAGATTTTTCCCTGGATGTATCCTTTTTTCCATGACCCTGAGGATGCCTACTTTTACTTCTTCCATGCCTTTCTTGTTTTTCAAAAATAAGTACCTCAGAAGAAGATTCACCATTTTCCTTTCTTTTGGCTTCTTCACTCAACAAACTTTATTTAACCATCTCCATGGTTAGCTTTCCTCCAGGCACTGAAGTGCTTAATGATACCACTAATGTTTCCAAACTGCAAGGCAAGGAGCTAAGAAGTAACAATGCCTGCAACTCATCTTCAAGAGGCATTTTTGTTGCGGCCAATTGGTTCACCAAGCCTTAGATATCACTAGTATGCTCAATCATACTTTTTCCATCTTTGTACTTCAAATTCACAAGTCTTCTAATGATCAAGGCTTTATTTCTGGAGGTATTTTTCTCATACATAGCCTCTAATTTCTTCCAAAGTGCATCGACTTCCATTTCTTCAGAGATGTGATTAAAAATATTAATATCAACCCATTGCCTAATCGTAGCAGTAGCTTTCATGTGTAATATTTTCCAATCATCATCACTTATTTTTTCTGGCTTTGACTTACCCATAACATGCCCATACAAATCTTTAACAATAAGCAAATCTTTCATTTTGCGCTTCCAAATGGAATAATTCGATGAGGTTAATTTTATCATCCCATACGAATTTTATTCTTCCATTTCAACACACAAGAATTAGCCTCTAGCCAACCAAAGGCTCTGATACTAGTTTGTTGGGAAAACTAATACTAATAGTTGCGGAATAAAATTTTCCCTCTTTGTGTGTTAAAATAGGATCTCAAGTAAAATGTCAACAAAGCCAAACGACCAATGCAACAATTAATCAAAATAATCAACCACAAATGAAACACTAATTTTTAGCGTGGAAAACCTATCAAATTGTGAGTAAAAATCACGGGACCCTTAGGCCGCTTAAATTTCTTCCACTATATTAACAATGTGATTACAAAGTTTCTCTCTAGAATCAAACTAGAGGCTTACAACAATAATATCATTAAGAAACACTATTCTTGGTTCACCAACAATGTAGACATCATCATCAAAGATGGATAATAACAATAACACCAAAGAAAAGCTTAGGTCTCACCAAATTAGGAGTACTCAAGAGAGTATTAAAGAGAGGCTCATTGAGAAATCAAGTCCGGTAGATGAGAAAAACTCGCCACAAGGATTTTCCACATCAAATTTGAGCCGAAACCGACAACGTTTCTCCACCAATCGTCTTGCACAAACACTAAAATCCTACTCTTTTTCTCTTTCTCTCTCTCCTTTTCTTCCCTTCTCTTTCTCTGGTTTCCTCGGCTGTCCACTGCCGATTCTCCTTCTTTTCTTTTCTATTTTACTGGTTTGCTGCGCACGTGAGCAACATGCCTTTCATTTTTTTCTTTGGAATTTGGGCTTAAAGCCCATTATTTGTTCTACCCCACAAATGGAGCGGAACCCAACACAACCCAAAAATGTGACAGTGCAATAAGAATTTGAGTCCATTTTGCGTTAAAATGCACTGTGAATTCAGCATATATAACGTAGAAATAAAATTAACAAAAATAAAAATAAAAAAGCTTTACAGAAATGCCACGGCCATAGTTCTTAAATTTATTTTTGACGATTATAAGCAAAAAAAAATTGATTTTTATCTTGAAAAAGAAGTTCTTATAAAGATGTTGCTTACATATTTGGAATATCAAAGAAGTCCCCGATAGTAACATACCAAAACACCAGAAGCAACCTCCTGGATTCAGTAGTCTACCTTGCTACCGACAGTATCCTGTTGTGATACTGAAAGGTAGTCGGCGGAGATACTACAAAATCAGGACACCAACATTAGCCTACGTGCTATCAACAGATAACCTACCGTGCTACCAGAGATATCTTACTAGAATACTAAAAGAAACACACTAGAATAAAAGTTCAAGAGGCAGAAGGCGAAGCATGTCCTGTGATGAAGGAGATCACACCACGGCAGCCGAATTTCGGGGAAGATCTATCCGCCACAGCCCTCGCTGTTGTCGCCCATACGCTTGGACATCTTGCCTCCCGCGACCTAGAATTAGTATACAAATATGACATACGATACGAGGATAGCTAGACCAGTTTGGACCAACTCCATACTACATAATTATGACATACGAGGATAGCGAGAATTGTTTAGAATCAAACAAAAAACTCTGGATCCGCTGTAGCACTTTGGTTAATACAAGAAAGGAAAAAAAAAAAAAAAAGGAAAGAAAGAGTTTTGTTTCTCCGAAGCGTTTTCTAGAGAGAGAGAAGGTTTTTGGAGAGCAGATGCTGGTCAGAGCTCTGGCACCGCTTCCGGGCACGTCGTCGGGCTCCCGACCGTGAAATTTAGTTTTCTGACTTGTCTCGTCATGAGCTTCTCATTGGTGGTGGTGGTGTACGGTGTGGTGGCTCCATTTGGCCAGATCTGAATCGGTTAGGAGTTTGGAAGCCGAATGGACGGTCTCTTTTCTTAGGAGAGTTTTCCGCTTGATGGCTGACATATCTTCACTGGCTATTTTCCTCGATGGTCCTTCGCCCTTCATGGGAGGTTTCTACCGACGGTAGTCAAAGGTTTTTTCTTTTTGTCACTTTTGTGTTTGTAATAAGGTTGGTGATTTCTCCACCCGACTCTCATCTGGTTTGTTATTTTTTGATAGATTTAAGTGTTTGGCTTAATGCTGATAAAGTGGTCTTGGTCCGGCTAGAATTTTTCTATGCCGTGTAGATGTCTCCTTTATGTGGGTTTTGACAACATGGCCCTCAAGCACTCGACAACTTATGTTGAAGAGAGGAATTTTCTCTAGCCAAGCTTTCAATCCGCTCGTTATTAGTGTGTCGAGGTGTTTTACCGGTTTCGGACCTCAAATGTGCATATGTCCCTCTGATGGGTTAACATTGTACTAAGACAATTGTTTATCAGTATTTTAATAAAATGCAATTTTCTTTGAAAAAAATACAAGAAAAAAAAATCTCTGGAGTGAGGATTGAGGGCCGTAACGTTACAAATTGTATAGCTCATTTTTCAAAATGATGAAAAAAAATCATAAACAAACTCATGTATTATGAGAATTAAAAAAAAAAATCCTATCGGTATAATGCAGTTTTAACTACTGTCAGATTCCTAAAAAAAATTATGAACTATCATATCAGTTCATATAGAATTTTATACTTTTTAATTATGATATAATACTACTGTGATTTGAAAGTACATTAAAAATAATACAGTATTTTCTTTTTATTTTTAATAACAATTGTTCTATTAGGATTGAGGGCATTTAATCCTACCTACCATCCATAATAAGTTAAAATTAAGTAGTTGTCTACCTCAAAATATTCGGATGTAGATACCTTTTATTTTTCAGCCATATCAAATATAATAAAAGATTATCAGCCGTTAAAAATAAAAAGTTGAGAATTGCTATCTTTGAACTGTAGAAAAGTTTTAACGGATGAAATTATATAGTCAAATTAGCCGCAAGTGAGCACCTTTCGTAATGATATTTGTCCTCAAATATTAAATGGATCTACCAATAAAAATGAATGAAATACATTATTAAAATATAAACGCCGGGCCGAACCAAAAAAGATTTACTCTGCACACAAAGAAATTCGCATCATTTTAATTTTCCTTTCCTTTCCAAGCACGTACCTGTCTAAATGTCTAATAAATTGTCTATAGATGAAATATTTTTTTCCTGTTGAAATTGACCAAAATGCACCCTCAAATATCAGCCTTCACAAGAACCTAAGAAAAGGCCATTTAAGTCAAACCAGAGTGAATGAAGATATGAATTCAATAACGTTTGAACGCAGAGCTATATCAAAGCCGGCTTTTCGTGCAAGTTAAAGTGCTCAAACGACAGCTTGTCATTGTCTGAAATAACGGAATAAAGAAAAAACAAAAACTTTATGAGAAACGTAATATCTATGATTGGATATTTTAATTCATGCAGTTCACACCAGCAACAAACAACCGCAGAAAAAAGAGACGGGAAAAAAAATGAGAAAAAAGGAAATAAATCTGTGAATTCAATGGTTGGTTTGTTTCCACTTTTGTCTCTCCGTTACTCACTACAAAAGCAGAAAAAGCCCAAACTTGAGAGCACCCAAAAAAAAAAAAAAGAAGGGAGAGAGAGAGAAACAGGCAGATGGATAATTGGAGGGTCTATCCATTTACCTTGTCAATAGTATTGATGTTTCTCTTTCCGGTAATTCATGGCTGGGGATTTGATGGGCATTACACAGTTTGTCGGATTGCTCAGGTTATTATATATTATTATCATATTACATATATATATTCATCATTGACAGCCAAAAAAAAATTGTTTGGCTCAAGTGTTTTCAGGGAAATTAAGGTACTAATATTATCTATAATTATATTTGGTTTGATTGTGTTTTGATTTCATATATACTAGGCTCGGTTGAGCGGAGCAGCGGCAGATGCTGTAGAGAAACTGCTTTCAGTAACATCAGAAAAAGAGTTGGGGAATTTATGCATATGGGCAGATCGTGTGAAATTTCGCTATCATTGGTCATCTGCACTTCACTATATTGACACTCCTGATTCTCTTTGCACTTACCAATATGACAGTAGACCCCCTCTCTCTCTCTCTCTCTCTCTCTCTCTCTCTCTCTCTCTCTCTCTCTCTCTTCTATGCATGCCTTAAACTTCGGTTATTTGCTAGTGTATCCTTCAACTATACTTCATTTCTCAACTTGGTCCTTATGCTAATCTAGGCGTAACCCTCTGGATTTAAGGGCTGCTTGCTCAATGCTAAATTTCTTTACAAAACGCCAAAATTTAACATCTGAGCAACGAATTTTAACAAAAACATATCCAAGCTATATGGGGCAAGCTAGTTAATTTGGTGTATATCATTAGTTAATGTGTTGAGTTTTCACTATATATATATATATATGTGTGTGTGTGTGTGTGTGTGTGTGTGTGTGTGTATATTTGCTAGGAAATTTTCAGTTATGGTTATGGAAAAAGAATAGAAGTCGAAAACATTATGCTTTGTAGCACATAATAGGACAACATGTTAAATAGGTCATTTTTACACTGTTGTATCAAATATAACATTTGCATTGATATTTAAAATGGAGATGGCCTATAAAGACAATCAAGAATCTTGATCCACTTAATTTGTGGAAATTGATGAAAGATCAGGAAAATGTCTCATGACCAGTAAATACCATTTCGGTATGTGTTTACCAGATTGTCATCATGTAGGATAAAGTTACCAAATCGCATCTAAAACCATAATACAATAGGTCAATATTTGCCAATATGATACAAATGGGGTAATTCTGGATTTTATAATTTAATATCAAATGCCGAATTGCATAATTGCTTTTGACCATGCCAAAGAAAGCCTGAGAGAGAGAGAGAGAGAGAGAGAGAGAGAGAGAGAGAGAGAGACTAAACGAAGCAACCCACATCTGGAATTTATCAGCAACAATGTTTGAATGATTTAATAGTTTAATACTACTTCAAAAAAGAAAAAAAAAAAAAAGGTTGTAATACTACTAAATTATTATGATTAACGATATTCAGGGGACTGCAAGGATGAAAATAATACGAGAGGAAGGTGTGTGGCAGGGGCTATTCGCAATTACACCACCCAGCTTCTCACCTACAACAGTGATTCTCCTAATCAGTCTCAATGTAGTTTCTCCTACCAAATCTTCAACTTCTTATCCTACTTTCCTTCTTTTTTGTTTTTGTCTTATAATATAGATAATAGATATGCTGATTGCTATTATCTTATTAAATTATTTATTTTATTTCCAATAGACAACCTCACGGAAGCTCTTCTGTTCCTTGCTCATTTTATGGGAGACATTCATCAGGTATGACACATGGTTTGTGGTTCTATTTTTTTCATAGATTTTAGAAACTAGCTTTAGGCCTAAGATGTTTATAGCCGTTGGAGCTTGATATACAAAAGCATAAAAAGTATTTACCTTTTTATACTATTATTACTATTATTATTATTATTATTATTATTATTATTATTATTATTATTATTATTATTATTATTATTAGTGGGGATATTTACCTTTTTATACCCTGTCTTTTAGGCTTATTCAAAAAGTAAACCTTCAGTTTTTAATCTCATCAAATATATCACTTCAAATTAAATCTAATATACGAATATTTATCTTATTTCAGTCAATAATTGATTTTAACCTTTAAAATAACCAAACTATTCCCCAAAAAAAAGAGAGAAAAGAAACTAAAATTTTCCGATATTACAAACAATAAAAATTTAAAACATAAAACAATCTATTTCAATGATATTTTATATATTTTTTAGGTCAAAACTGTGAGTTTAAGGTTTTTTATTTTTTTATTTTTTTATTCAAGGATATTTTAGGTATTTTTAATGTTAAAATCAAGGGTTGGCTGTGAAAAAGGTATAATTTATATATTAAATCTAATTTGAAGGTATACATTTGATGAGATCAAAAACTGAAGGTATAGTTTTTAAATAAAACCAAAATACAAGATATAAAAAGGTAAATGTCCCTTATTATTATTTAGACGCTTTGTCTAAAAACAACTATCAAGTTTGTTAAATTAAGAAAAAGAATAATATCATTTTGGTATCTTCTGTTATAACAAAATAACTCGCTAGTACTTTGTATATCCCTTAAGAAAATGAACATTTTTTTTTAAAATGATTAATAATTTATTGGTCGATCACTGACTGATTGATAATCAATCATTAGTTGACATGAATCTCATTTGTGAGCACATAGAACGTTTTAATGGCACCGGCCATTTTCCTTAAAAAAAGAGTTATAAATATTTATTAAAAGAGATGATCAAATCCTGCCACCTCACCTAATTAATTTCTCAAAAAAAATAAAAATAAAAATCTTATGAATTTGTATCCATTAGTTTGCCTTTCTATTAGAGAATGTCAATAAAAAAAAAAAAAAACACATAAAAGAATAAGTAAAAGCAATTTTAAAACAAGTCATATTCTCGAGAACCAAGATTAGTATTTGATTGTACGTGGACTTGTATGTCTTATATATGTAGCCTCTACATGTGGGTTTTACCTCAGACAGAGGAGGAAACGAGATAAATATTCACTGGTACACACGGAAACAAAATCTTCACCATGTGAGTCCAATTACTCGCTAATTTAAACTTTACTTTTTTTTTTCTTCTAGTGCAAATTGATTGAAACTAGAAATTATTTATGATCTCATGTAATTATGCTTTCTAGGTTTGGGATGACAATATAATTGAGACATCAGAAAAGAGGTTCTATGACTCTAATCTGGAAGAACTGATTGAGGCAATTCAACAAAATATTACGGTATATAATGTTATTTTCACTGTGTATCAACTTTACAAAACTTGGGATTTACCAATTTTCTTTTTTTTTTTCCTTTTTTTTATTTATTGAATTAATTATTTCTTTTCCTTGTTTGTATAATTTTGGTTGATGCAAGGCTGAATGGGCAGACCGAGTTAAAGGCTGGGAAACTTGCGGTTTGAACGAGACAGCATGCCCGGACATGTATGTTTTACAACTACTGTTATGTGACTCATTGTTTTATGATAATTATCACTATATTTTTTTACCAAAAAGAATTACCATTACATTTTAACCAATAGCAGATTTATATGTAAGTTATGTGAAACAATTATGATATGGAGCTGACACAATTTTAAATTGACTATTTTTAAAGCTAGCTGAAATGTAGTGCCACCAGTAATATTTTACTCTCCTAATTTTCTTTTTAGAAGTATTAACAATAAACCCCCTAAATAAAAGTTTATCTTGTTTCATACTTTATTCCGGGGACTAAAAACTTTTAGCGATCACCTCCGTAGGACTAGTAAAGTACGAATAATACTAGGGATTCTATCTTTTATATCAACTTTTTAATGCTGATAATATGTCATAAATATATGCAGTTGTCAACTTTTGTTTTATTGATAGACGCTTAAAAGAATTAGCATATGAATTAATATAATTAAAAAGTTGTAACTGCTAAATTATATAGAGTGAAGAACTCACTTGCCAGGCAAATTAGAATCCAAAAGATGGTCAACACTACTCTTCAGATATCTAAGGCTTGTTTTTTTGAGTGAAAAACTAAAAAAAAGACAACTCGAGTTACAACTTTATTCGAGTTCATGTTCTTTTAAGTTTAAACTCGAGTTCAAACTCGAGTTTAGGACTAAAATTCGAGTTCAAGTTTCCACTTCAACTCGAGTTCAGAAACTCGAACTCAAATTAATGAATAGTATTTTTTCTATTCTTAAAAATGCTATAACTTTTTCGTTTTAATTCTGATTGAGATGATTTTTTTTCTATGCGTTGACAACGAAAAGACGAATAAAACCCGACCCATATACCCTATTAAAATTTTTCATCAGCATTGAGTTTTTATTAAAATACTATTTAAATACAAATTTAAGTTTTGACTCGCTCAAACACAAACTCAAGTTACAAGTTCAACTCAAATTCAACTCAAGAATTATACTCAAGTTAAACTCCAAAAAAATAAGCCCTTAGTTGTTTCATTCCCTAGCCCGGCCCACGATCTTCCTGTGGGATTTTGGGCCTCGTTCAGTATGTCGATTCGAGTTGAGATGTGAATTTATGTGAGAGTTTTTAATTGTAAAAAAAAAAGTTAGATGAGACTTTTTGTGAAAGCTTTTAACTGTAGCAAAACTAGAATTGAAAATTCGAATAAATTTCCCTTGAAATTGAAGCTTTTGTTCCATTAGAGAACTAATGTAACACTTAATTTTAGGATTAAATATAGTAAAATTAGTTCAGTAATAAGGTTGTTTTCTAGTTATTCCTTATCAATATTAGCTTTGGCGCTTATTTTATTTTCCATGAAACCTGGACTTTGATCTATAATTCATTAGACAGTATAACCTTTTCTTAATAGAGATAGAACAATTCGGTTTCATTTTTGCAGATATGCGTCTGAAGGTATCAAAGCGGCTTGTGCGTGGGCTTACAGGGGTGTATCTGAGGGTTCTGTCCTGGAAGGTAAAGACTGTGTTTGGAGTCGTTTTTGTTTTTGTTTTTTATGTTTTTTGAGGAAAAAAAAATAAAAACAGGAGAGAAACGACGTTTGGCATAATTAAAGAAAAAACAGAAATGAAAATAATTTTTTGGTTTAGTGTAAAATGAGAGAGAAATGAAAAACGACTTTTAGTGCCTATTTGGAATCATTTCCAAAAACGTTTTTCACGTTTTTCAAGAACTAAAAAATGAAAATGCACTCACAAATGCGTTTGGTACCGCATTTCCTGACAAAAAAAATTGAAAACGTTTTTTACTTATTCCCAAAAAGTCAACAAAACTGAAAACGATTAAGGATCGTTTTCCTTCCCATTTTCATTTTCTTTGCCTGACTGGACCACTCTAATATTATTATTTATTTAATATATTATTATTTTAAATATTATTACACGTTTTTAAAAATTAAACCACCAAACACAATTTCAGTTTTTTTAAAAATTGAAAACAATCTCAGAATAAAACTACCAAACGCATTTTCAGAAATGATTTCAAAATGAAAATGAAAACGTTTTCGTTTTCATTTTCATACATAAAACAAAATCATTTTGGAACGAGTTCCAAACGCACCCTTAGACTTTTTTCATTTTTTGTTTCTGTTTTCTTCTCTCTCGATTTAGAGAGAGATAGAGACATTAATGGATTTTTTTATACTGAAAATAATTTTTTTAATAAAATTACCAAACGTATTTTTAAAAATAATTTATGTTTGAGATTGAAAACGTTTTCATTTCCATTTTTATACAAAAAATAAAATCATTTTAGAACGAGTTCTAAACGCACCTAATGTCTCTTTGCTCCCAAGAATATGAGAATTATTTAAATATTAATACGTAAGGCCTTGAGACGGTACTTCTACGTACACGACATTTATAAATGAGAATTATAACGCATTATTTATCATCGTAACACTAAGGCCCTGCTCACTTCACCAATTCGAGTTTAAAATTTGAGTTTTGTTATAGTAAAAAGCTCTCACAAATAATCACATCTAACTTTTTTGCTACAGTAAAAAGCTCTCACATAAAATCACATCTCAACTCGAATTACAAACTCGAATCAGCGAAGTGAACGGACTCTAGATTGTAGAAGTGTAACAATAGTTTTGAATAACTAAAACTTTTTATATTATTGCTTCCCGGAAGAACTGTAGCAAAAGCCTAATACCTAAACGTGTTAGCAGATGACTATTTCCTCTCGCGTTTACCAGTAGTCAAAATGAGGTTGGCACAGGGTGGAGTTCGTTTAGCAGCTACTCTCAACCGTATCTTTGGATGACTGCAGGTTATCTTTTCTAATTATTCAGTTAAATAATAAAACCCAAAATATGTACTTTAAACAAATTGGAGTGTTTTAAAACTCCGAAGGTCGTTTGGATCTGGATATTTAGAGAATTTCTCCCTTTGTACAATTTTTCGCCCTTTTTGTCACACTTTCAAACACATAAAACCAATCAACTAATTTTATTGGAAGAAAAAGTGATGAAGATGAATTTTGAAATAAAGTAATTACATTATATACAAACCTACTTATGTACTTCACTTAAAAGTATTTTTCACACACATTTCATTTTCATCGTCAACATAATACATCTAAGAGAAAATTAAATAATTTCTATACATTTATTTAGTAAAGAAGGAAAACAAAAGGAAATGAATATACTGCACTTATCACTTAAAATTGCAATTTTAATCATTTTCAAGAAGAAGAAAAAAAGAAATTGCGTACACAAAGATATAAGAGATCCTCTACCTTCCTTGACTTTTGGCTTAGATCAAGTATAGAATACAATTTTATATATAAAAAAAAGGATATATTATATCCCATTAGAAAATTAAAATAAAATAAAATAAGGCGAGCTAATTATTATAAACCATATTAATTTATCCACTCGGAATGAACGGAGGACATAAGAAAAAGAAAGTGTGTCGTAGGGTCATTTACCAATTGAACTTTTATACACGAAATAGATTGATAACCGAGTCTTCAAGACACTAGTAATGGTCAAAATCTTAAAAAATAAAATTAAAATTATAAAAAAAAACCACTAGTGATTTGGTATCATAATATCAATTTTATCCTGGCACGTCAACTTATTATTTATATATAATTTAGAATCCATGACTTAATTTTCTTTTTTGGTGCAAACAAGACTTAAGTTGCTTCATTATTCATATATATGACTTGCAGTTTCAACAAGCATTCGTAGCTATACATAATATATAATGTACATTGTAAAGCACATCTGCCTCACGCCACCTATTCTGATTTCTTCACAACAAGAACAGGGCATTTCGCGTTGCTCAAGCAATAATCGGCTAAACTACTCCCCAGCAGAGCCCTGTATGACCACGTTTAGATCAGAATTAATTCAGATTTCATAGTCGTCAAACGTAATTCATAGCAAGATTATTCTAAATTTCTACTGTGAAATCAGATTTAAAATTAAACTAATTACCTCTTGAGAATTCCATAGGAATTGTTACCAATAACGAGTAGATCAATGTTATGTTCTTGAACTGCATTACAGATAACCTCTTTAGGATCCCCAATTTCTGTAAATGTTTTCACATTCACCTGAGATGACAAAAAAAAAAGAAGCATCTCACTCAGTAGAATTTTGCTAGCGGATTAAGATATAACAACTAATACTCAGAAAGCATTTTTTTTTCTTTTTTAAATACAAGACGGGATCAAACCAGCGACCTCCCTCAAAAACCCAACCTCACCCGAAACCCCTGTGCCACTAGGCCAAGCCGGCTTAGGAAGAGAGCAGAATTTCTATGTTAAGAAAATTCAGAGAACAAAAAATCAGACCAATATTCATACCCCTCCATTGGCGCAGATACTCTTGGCTTTGTCCAGAAGTCCCATAGAAACCTCCTTGTTCCTTTCTTGAGCCTGGTTTGTCAAAACTGCAGCTATAGCGCAGAAACAATATGTTTGCTACTTTTAAACAATCTTTTCTTTTGTGCCATGATATGACTACCAAATTATAGATGATGTAAAGAAAATTCAAAGTCTTTGAAAACAAGAAGCTACATCAACCAAAGTCCTAAACACCTTTGTCCGTGGCTAAAACATAGAAATTTTGAATATGGACAAAGAAAAAGAAAAAGGATTGGTAGAGTTTGGAGAAAACATTTAACTGTAAGACAGAGTGCAGGTCAAGCGAATAAAGCCTAGAGATGGCGAAACAGCGAAATTGGAGTTGATAAGCGGCTGTGTTGCAAAGATGAAAAGAGGCGACTGTTTGAGTGATTCTTTGAGATTTTCAAGCACCCAAATCAGTGCTTTGTAGCTGCAATCACTCTCATCTATAACCACCATCACCTTCTTCCTTGATCTTTCTTTTTCTCTCTCCATTTTCCCACCGCAAATTGACAACACTAAAAGAAATCAGGTTCTAACAAACCGGAAAATGTTGTTGTTATTGTTTTATAAGCCTTGTTAGTTTTTGTTGCACTAATGGTTGACGTTAGACTTTATCTACTCTTGAATCATGACAAAAATAAAATGATTATTATCATAAGTGCTCCTTTAACTTTAATGTGATTCTCAATTTATACTCTGAACTTTAAAAGTGATCACCTTATCTTATAAATTTTAAATTGTTCTCACTTAACTTCTTCTGCTGTAATTTCTATTAAAAATAGATAGAACGAAAGATAATAATGCAATAATGTGGTCTTTCAGTTTAAATTTCTATTAAAAATAAATAAATAAAAACTACATGGTCACATTTAACCTTCTCTTTGTCCGTTTGATTTTTGTAGAAATTCTTACAAAAAAGACTTAGCCCTTGTTTATTTCACTAGTTTATTTCAATTTAACTCAATTTGAACAGTGAGCACAGATTGAACTGGCGTTTGGTAAGCATGCAGTTTGAATTATATTGCCCGTTTGAACTGAGTTAAACGGCCCAATTTGGAGTTTAACTCCCCCCTCAAGTTCAACCATTTAAACCATTTTTAAACAGTAAAAAATGTCCACTCTCTATGCTTTTCATACCTACCAAAGACAAATTTAAATTTTATTTCATGTTCAAATTAAAACTTTAACTACATATCCAAACGTCAATTCAAACTATAATTTAAACCACACAGTTTAAATTTTTATGTTCAAAACAAAAAGTTCATACCAATAAAATTCAAACCAGTGAACCAAATAGAGGCTTAAATGTGACAAATTCAAAATTTAAGAAGTAAAGTGAAAGTTTTTTAAGTTTAAGGGGCAAAAATGAGAACGATCTCAAAATTCAAGGGGCACCAGTGAGATTAAGTCAAAATAGAATATGAGTCTTGCACAACACCTGAGTTTCAGTAGTGCATATTTTTTAACATGAAAAAATATAAACCGATTGAATCAAAATATAAATATGGCGGTTTAAAACAAAACCCTACAAATACCTAACTGTTGAATTCTCCTAAAAAAAAATGATTCTTCTAATTTCGTCCAATTTGTGGGCCAACCTTGTCGGTGTCTGAACTTTAGAATTCAATGCAGAATTAAATAAAGTTGCTTAAAAGGTGAAATCAAACCGGAGAGCTTTGTAAATTTAGAGAGTTGAATTTAGTGTCCTACTTGAGAATGATAGAGATGAGGGCCAAATATTGGAAAGGCAATACTTCTAAGCAACTATGACCAGGAAATGACGTTTATCCTCTCTCTTGGACCTGGTTTTCTAGTGACACTGTTAACTGAAAACTGAAATTGTGTTCGGTCATTTACATACTTTCCTAAGGTAAAATTGTCTTGTAGTGGTCACTAACTTTGTAGAGAATAGATAGCAACCGGAATTGCGTAAGAAGTCCAAAAATTAGTTGATGCCGAAACTTCGTTGGTGAGGATTGGGTTAGAAGAAAAGAATCTTTAGTGGTGTCATCTCAATTAAACTTCCATTCTTTATATTTATTTATTTTATGAGCAAGTTCCTCTTGTCCACTCTTTTGCCTGTTTTGTTTGTGGCACGAGCACCTACTTGTTGGGTCTATCTGATGTGTTGCCATCTGTTGCTCATCTAAGGCCTCTTTGGATGTGAAAACTATTGTTGATGCCTATAGTTTTCGACTTTAATATGTTAGAATCGTATTTTTGAGAATTCTAGTGTGGTATCTTGACATTCAGAAAAAGAATTTTTATGGTAAAAACCGTCTTTTTTAATTATCGTTAAAATTATTAGATTAAATTTTTAAAGATTTGATCTGTAAGTGCGCACATTAAACATTTTTGGTGCGCGACATAAAAATCATTCCAATCACTGATTAAGTCATTAAAAACTTTTATCGCTTAAACCAACAGTTATTAATGGTAATTAAAAAAGATATGTCCTATCATAAAATTTTCTTAAAAAAAGAAAGTGTTGCCCCCCTTCCCCGCCTCTCTTTTTTAATAAAATGTTCATAGGATAAAAGGGTAGAAAGAGAAATATATATCCCAGGAAAAGCTGTAAAGTATTACAATTTTATAAAATCTAGGAGATACCAATATGATAAATACAAAAACTACAGGGTACCAGATTGTAATTTTCCTTTTGGACAAGAAGTGGTTCCCAGTCCATCACCTTGGACACCACTTTACTCAATATGAGAAATATTTCAAGAAGCATGTCACTCAGAAGAGTTTTGCTAGCGGATTAAGATATAACAACTAATACTCAGAAAGCTTTTTTTTTTTTTTTAAATATAAGACGGGATCAAACCAGCGACCTCTCTCAAAGTCCCAACCTCACCCGAAATCCCTGTGCCACTAGGCCAAGCCGTCTTAGGAAGAGAGCAGAATTTCTATGTTAAGAAAATTCAGTGAACAAAAAATCAGACCAATATTCATACCCCTCCATTGGCGAAGATACTCTTAGCTTTGTCCAGAAGTCCCATTGAAACCTCCTTGTTCCTTTCTTGAGCCTGGTTTGTCAAAACTGCAGCTATAGCGCAGAAACAATATGTTTGCTAAAACAATCATTTCTTTTGTGCCATGATATGACTACCAAATTACAGATGACGTAAAGAAAATTCAAAGTCTTTGAAAACAAGAAGCTACGTCAACCAAAGTCCTCAAAACCTTTGTCCGTGGCTAAAACATAGAAATTTTGAATATGGACAAAGAAAAAGAAAAAGGATTGGTAGAGTTTGGAGAAAACATTTAACTGTAAGACAGAGTGCAGGTCAAGCGAATAAAGCCTAGAGATGGCGAAACAGCGAAATTGGAGTTGATAAGCGGCTGTGTTGCAAAGATGAAAAGAGGTGACTGTTTGAGTGATTCTTTGAGATTTTCAAGCACCCAAATCAGTGCTTTGTAGCTGCAATCACTCTCAACTATAACCACCATCACCTTCTTGCTTGATCTTTCTTTTTCTGTCTCCATTTTCCCACCGCAAATTGACAACACTAAAAGAAATCAGGTTCTAACAAACCGGAAAATGTTGTTGTTATTGTTTTATAAGCCTTGTTAGTTTTTGTTGTATTAAATGGTTGACGTTAGACTTCATCTACTCATGAATCTTGATAAAAATAAAAGGATTATTATCATAGGTGTCCTTTAATTTTAATGTCATTCTCAATTTTTTCTCCGAACTTTAATGTAATAATATGCTCTTTCTTTTTAAATTTCTATTAAAAACAAATAAATAAAAACCACGTGGCAACACTTAACCCTCTCTTGTTCCGTTTGATTTGAGTAGAAATGTTTACAAAAAAACTTAGCCCTTTTTTGTTTCACGAGTTTAGTTCAGTTCAATTCAGTTTGAACAGTTAGTACAGTTTTAACTGGCGTTTGGTAAGCATGCAATTTGAATTATATTCCCCATTTGAACTGAGTTAAAAGGCCCAACTGAGAATTTAGCTCCCCTCTCAAGTTTAACCTTTTAAACCATTTTTAAACAGTAAAAAATGTCCATTTTCTATGCTTTTCACACCTACCAAACACAAATTCAAATTTTATTTCTTGTTTAAATTAAAACTTTAACTACATAGCCAAACATCAATTCAAAGTACAATTTAAACCACACAGTTTGAATTTTTCTGTACAAATCAAAAAGTTCATACTAACAAAATTTAAATCAGCAAACCAAACGGGGGCTTAAATGGGATAAATTCAAAATTTAAGAAGTAAAGTGATAATTTTTGAAGTTTAGGGGACAAAAATGAGAACGATCTCAAAATTCAAGGGGCATCAGTAAGATTAAGCCAAAATAGAATATGTGTCTTACACAACACCACAGTTTCAGTAGTGCATATTTTTTAACATGAAAAAATATAAACTGAATGGATTAAATATAAATATGATGGTTTAAAACAAAACTCTACTATTATCCCACCGTAGAATTCTCCTAAAAAAATGATTCTTCTAATTTGGTCTAATTTGTGGGCCAACCATGTGGGTCTCTTAACTTTAGAATTAAATGCAGAATTGAATAAAGTTGCGTAAAAGTTGAAATAAAACCGGAGAGTTTTGCAAATTTTGAGAGTTTGAATTATGTCTTACTTGAGAATGATAGAGAAGAGGGCCAAATATTGGTAAGGCAATACTTCTAAGCAACTATGACTAGAAAATGATGTTGATCTTTTCTCTCTTGGACCTGGTTTTCTAGTGACACTGTTAACTGAAAACTGAAATTGTGTTCGGTCATTTACATACTTTCCTAAGGTAAAATTGTCTTGTAGTGGTCACTAACTTTGTAGAGAATAGATAGCAACCGGAATTGCGTAAGAAGTCCAAAAATTAGTTGATGCCGAAACTTCGTTGGTGAGGATTGGGTTAGAAGAAAAGAATCTTTAGTGGTGTCATCTCAATTAAACTTCCGTTCTTTATATTTATTTATTTTATGAGCAAGTTGTCTTATCCCCTCTTTTGCTCGTTGTGTTTTTGGCACGGGCACCTACTTGTTGGGTCTATTTGACGTGTTGTCATCTGTTGCTCATATAAGACCTCCTTTGGATGTGAAAATTATTGTTGATGCCTATAGTTTTCGACTTTAATATGTTAGAATCGTATTTCTGAGAATTCTAGTATGGTATCTTGACATTCAGAAAAAGAACTTTTATAGTAAAAGCTATCCTTTTCAACTATCGCTAGAATTGTTATTTTAATTGTTAGATTAAATTTTTAACGATCTGATCTATAAGTGCACACATTAAACATTTCCGGTGTGCCAGAGAAAAATCATTCCAATCACTAATTAAGCCATTGAAAACTTTTATCGCTTAAGACTACAGTTCTTACAGATAGTTAAAAAAGATAGGTCCTATCATAGAATTTTCTTTAAAAAAAGAAAGTGTTGTTCCCCCCTCTTTTTTAATAAAATGTTCATAGGATAAAAGGGTAGAAAGAGAAATTTATGTCCCAAGAAAAGCTGTAAAGTATTACAATTTTATAAGATCAAGGAGATACCAATATGATAAATACAAAAACTACAGGGTACCAGATTGTAATTTCCCTTTTGGACAAGAAGTGATGTCCCCAGTCCATCAACCATCACCTTGGACACCACTTTGCTCAATATGAGAAATATTTCAAGAAGCTCGGCATTTACATGCTTGCAAAAGTAGAGCATTCACTGAGTGTAAAAGTGCGTGTAATCATATCAGGTATTATGGTACCATAATGCGCATGCTCGGTCTCCTTATAAGCCCAGTAGTGAAAAAAAAAAAAAAAAAGTTTATAATACAAATATGGGCCCCCTAGAAAATTATCAGAAATCAGAAATATATGAAAAGACTAGGCAATAAGGTACTGGCACAATGCGGAATCAACAAGACATGTTGGATAAATTGAAGGAATATGTTCCCCATCCAGATCCGAAAACTGATACCAATACATCTTTACACTTCTAGATTACATTTAAACCATAGGAAACAGCATATGCACTGGTCAAAGTTTGCATTGCAATAAACATTACGTTGGTAAACATAGCAGACATCCTTAATCATCCTCTCAAATATAGGATTTGGTATCTATAGCTTCGTGTACAGGATGGTAACAAACTGGTTAATCTGGTTTCTTCACAACCAGAACAGGGCACTTGGCATTATGAACACAGTAACTGCTGACACTTCCCAGAAAAGTCCTGTTCCAACACATTCGTATTAGATCGCTTGATCCAACGAAGATTTCCTCTCATGATAAAAGAAAGATAAAATCTCACTCGGCTTGAGATGAAAGGAACGTTAAGCATTTACGGTGGGCTCAATCTACTCAATACTATGTGCTAATCTTGATTAGCGGCACAACAAAAAACATACTTTTTGGGACAAAAGATTTCAACCTCTTATGTTAAGTCTTAATGCCAGCTTCTAGGACATTATATACGCATAACTTATGTCTTGCGTCCAACAAATCATAGCTCATAAACTTTGGTTTTATAGTTTATGATAGAAATACAATACATCCCAAATTTTGGGATCTACAAACATCCCAATTCTTAGCCACTCACTGTTGAAAAAAAAAAAAACTGTCAATTACTACATAATAACAGCAGAAGGAGGTCCGATGGACAAGATCATTTTTAAGCTTCATTTAATGGCTGAGAATTAGGTTGTGCATACTTCTCGGAAAAAGAAAACAAAAATCAAATTTGTACCAATTCCGTCAAGTATTATCATCCTTATTATCGTCCTTATTTTTCTATCAATTCCGTCAAGTATTTCAAAAACCAACCATTTTTAACCAAATAACAAAACGAATATAGTGGGATACGAAAGTGACTGCATGAAACACGAATCATCTACTCCATAAAACGTACAAATATAAAAAGAAAGCATATATCCATATATTTAAGATGTACCTCTTAATGGCTCCTTTGCCACGGCTGCCTAATACCAGCAATTCGATATTGTACTTTTCGACAGCTTCACATATTACCTCTTTGGGATTCCCAAATTCTGTTATAGTCTCTGCTTCAGTCTGTGGGAGGGCAAAAGCACAACTTAATTATTTCTATTAATTATGACATTGTTAGGACTTATGTTAAACAGAAATAGCAAATAAAAAAGGCCATGGAATCAATGAAGAATATGTACCCCATGCATTTTGCAGATTTCCTTAGCTCTCTCCAACAGGGCCAGAGCTGCCTTCTTGTTCCTTTCTTGAATTGATGTTACCAATTCATGAGTTGTAGACACAAAATCTGCAAATCGTTGATCAGTTGCACGCAGTTGTGTTTTTAATCAAATTAACCATTTGATATATATATATATATATATATATATAACTTCTTTCTAAATATGACGTAACATCATAATCTCAAATGAAATTCTTTTCCCCCTTTTCAATAGACTGAAGTAATTAATTATGTGACAAACAACAGACTGAAGTAATTAATTATGTGACAAACAACTCATTGCTCGCACGTGCATACATATGTTAGGCACCAAAAAGGCCCCTACAGATTAGTCCAGATTCACATACAGTTGAGGATAGACCTTTTATTTTTTCATTTAATTTTATGCATGAAATCTGAATATATTTATAATTTTTCCCCTAAAAAAGTTTTGAAATTCTATATTTTCCGCACCTCATAATAACCATTTTTTCCATAATCTTAGGGCATGTTTACTTTGCATGAAAGGGAAAGGGAAAGTGAGGACTGTGTTTACTTACAAAATCAGTAATGGAGATTTAGTGGTCCCCACACAATATAAGGAATGAGGAAAATGAATGCCAATCCTTACACCCCCTTAGTATTGATTCCTTGTCAAAGGGAATAAATGTTAAATTTACTTATCTACTCTTAATAAATTACTATATAGTCAATGATTAGTTAATTGGGTAAAAAGACATTTTAGCGATTACATTCATAACATTGATATTCCGAATTTTAGTAAGCATAAGAAAGGGAATGGGTTTGTTTCTCATTACACTATCTAATAGTCAAGTAAACATTTAAAAGGGAATGAATGACCCTTAATCCTATTACTTTACTTTCCTTTCCAATCCTATGATCTTTCTCATTACATTCTTTTATAGTTTAATAAACGCGTCCTTAGTATATACGCCCCCACCACCCAACTTATTTTTCTAATCCATCGCTAAATTAGTCATAAGATAATTAGTTTTTATAAACTCTCATATCCCTCGAATGCCCCTTTTCAAGGACAAGTTCTATCTAATAAGTTCTTTAACAATACCCTAAAAAAAAATCTTTTGTTAATAGTGGCAGTCCACCGAGTTGTGAGTTCAACTCGACCAACGTTGGAGTTAACTTAAACAATCTCCAATATAAATGATAATATCAATTGTATATTTAACATTAAAAAGTATGATACAATATATTATTTTTATTTTTGCTCCAATACATAATGTTATTTGAAATGCTAAATCTATTTTTTCTTATAATCATTAAGCTTATCATTAGAGTACATTTTTATTTTTAAAATAATCAGAAAATACAAAAGTTGCAATGATTACATGAAAAAATAAACATTTTAATCAATAGCAATCAAATCCTAAATTTTTCGTATGCTATATTTAGTGAGAAATTTACCACAAAATATAACATGTGAAAAATTTAGCATAATAAATAACATTACATTAAAAAATATTATTTACACTCAAATGCTAAATCTACAATTATCACATTAATTATAGCATTTTATTGCTTATAGGCTAGATTAAGGTATCTTGGATGGCGTATTGGCACGTACTTTCATCATGTCTACCATGAGTTATACTTAATGGATTGGTGGCTTAGGAATGTAATCCATTACTACTCTAGAAATCACCGTCACTATGATGACTGAGTTTGGTATTATTTTTCGCTCTCAAAATCAACTTCTGTTTGTAGCAAAAGTTAATTTTAGTATTTAGTAAATCTCTTCAAAAGTGTTTTTTAAACAATTTTTAAAGAATCTATAATCAAAATCAGAAACAATCCAACGGCAATTTTAACTTTTAAATTGTGTAAAAATTAACATAATACAATTAATAAAACTTTCATAATACATATAATACCTCTAATAAAATTTAAAATTTACAATCTTATAAATCTAAAATTTAAACTAATAATATAATATAATATAATATAATGTAATAATATTATTATAACAAATAATATCATA